TAACCCACTGCCCTGATCCCCCTGCTGCACCCTGCACCCCAACCCCCTGCCCTGACGCCCCCTGCCCGCACCCCAACCCCCTGCCCTGAGCCCCCTGCCGCACCCCACACTCCTCCTGCACCCCCTGGGGGCAGGGAGGGGGCAGAGTTGGGGTGGGGATTTCGGGGAAAGAATTGGAATGGGGGTAGGGCCTCATGGAAGGGGGCGGGGCCAAAGGCAGCGGGGAGGGGGGGTGTCAGTAATGCGGCCCTCGGGCCAATGTACTAGTCCTCATGTGGCCCACATGGTCATTTCAGTTTGAGACCCCTGTTTTATGTAGTCTGATGTAAAACTAGGCAACTAAACTAGAGGAATTGATGTACTCCCTGGAAGACCTCTGCGTACTCCCAGGGGTACACATACACCTGTTTGAGAACCACCTGCCTAATATGCTTAGTTGATACAATGTTTAAAATGGTAGTGGCAGATGGTGGGGATTTTACACTAAAGTCATCCCTAGATGTTGCAGACACTGAGGGCTGGAGCTGGGTTCTCTCCAAATTCACCAAGAAACAGTGTTCTTGAAAACAGACCTTTGTTCCCTCAGTCCTAGGTCATCTAAAAATAGTGACAAACATCCCTTTCTCCTTCAGAGGAACACTAGGTATCTGACTTTAAGCTACTTCTTCCCTCCTCTCCCCTCAGGTGCATGGAATGTAGATTTGCTGACAAGAAATCTGAATTGTGGCAGGCAACTTCAATGAATTTTAGTTTTATGTACCAAACAGGCTGCCTTTTGCATTTATTGCTCTATTATATAAACTTTATAGGTCTCTGGCACTTTTAACTTCACATAGTCATTAGAAACGTTAACTCATCTCGGGGAGGGGGGAGATTACATGTGCTAACCACTTTAAGTATGAGCAATGAAGACTAAAACCACAGAAATTTAGATTCCCCAATATCACATCTTCCAAAGATACAAGACTATTAATAATTACTGGCAACTTGCACTAAAAATAGTTAAACAATTATCAAAGTTGAAATTTTTCTTATTCTACATGCCGGTAAAAAAAAATAATTAAAATGAACTTATATAATGCAGTAGTGTGTAGTTCCATTTGACTTAACGGTGGTGAGCATCTAGAAATTCCATACTACACACCAATGCAAAATGCCGCCACTAAGGCTCTGATCCAGCTAATAATTAATCAATCATATGCACAGATTTAAGCATTTGAGTAGTTCCAATGAAGTCAATGGGCTAAATTAACACATGCTCAAACGCTTTGGTGAATCAACACCTAATACACTAGGCAGCATGAGTCAGGAAAGCCCAAATCCTAACACCAAAAGAAGGCTGCAGTCCTACATATCTTAACTCAAGTTGCTAAATACCCAGATTTCAAATCCATATGGCAGTGTATTACCTGGATCATTATGTGAGTGAGGCACAACAAACACTTGAAGAGGTTCATCATCCCATTCATTTTCATTGTACGTGATATCAAATCCTTGTTTCCAAACTCCACCATCTGGATTATCGAAAGGAAGAATATCATAGACATCCAACATCTAAAAAGAGTAAAAGGAATGTACAGCATGAATTCACAAAACAGATATAGTGCACAATTCCATATTAAAAAAAAATTGCATTCATTAAAATCTAGTATTAAATTCCGGCTGTTGCTCTTAAAAAATATATTTTTTAATGGGTAACTGAAGACCAATCTAACTTACAGCAGCACAAATCATGCTTAGTATGATAATGACTGGGGACCAACCAAGATCAAGGGTTAATTGTATTGATCACTGTTCATATACACAGCAGTAGATAGTCCCTGCTCCAAAGAACTTACTGCAGACAACCATTTCTCGCCTTTTTTCCTGGGTGAACTGTGCAGACGCCATACCACAGCAAGCATGGAGCCCACTCCGCTCAAGACAGCAGTCATGAACATTGTAAACACCTCGTGCATTATAATGTAGTTTATGCTGAACCAGGACCTGAAAAACTAGGCGAGGAGGAAGTGGCTACGGCAGCTCGGCGACGAGAGTGATGAGGACATGGACACAGAATTCTCTCAAACCGCGGGCCCCGGCACTTTGGAGATCATGCTGCTAATGGGGCAGGTTATAGCCGTGGAATGCCGATTCTGGGCCCGGGAAACAAGCACAGACTGGTGGGACCGCATAGTGTTGCGGGTCTGGGACGATTCCCATAACTTTCACATGCATAAGGGCACTTTCATGGAACTTCGTGACTTGCTTTCCCCTGTCCTGAAGCGCCAGAATACCAAGAGGAGAGCAGCCCTCTCAGTTGAGAAGTGAGTGGCGATAGCCCTGTGGAAGCTTGCAACGCCAGACAGCTACCGGTCAGTCGGGAATCAATTTGGAGTGAGCAAATCTACTGTGGGGGCTGCTGTGATGCAAATAGCCAAAGCAATCACTGAGCTGCTGCTACCAAAGGTAGTGACTCTGGGAAATGTGCAGGTCATAGTGGATGGCTTTGCTGCAATGGGATTCCCTAACTGTGGTGGGGCGATAGACGGAACCCATATCCCTATCTTGGCACCGGAGCACCAGGGCAGCCAGTACATAAACTGAAAGGGGTACTTTTCAATGGTGCTGCAAGCACTGATGGATCACAAGGGACGTTTCACCAACATCAACATGGAATGGCCGGGAAGGGTTCATGACGCTCGTGTCTTCAGGAACACTAATCTGTTTAAACGGCTGCAGCAAGGGATTTACTTCCCAGACCAGAAAATAACCATTGGGGATGTTGAAATGCCTATAGTTATCCTTGGGGACCCAGCCTACCCCTTAATGCCATGGCTCATGAAGCCATACACAGGCAGCCTGGACAGTAGTCAGGACCTGTTCAACTGCAGGCTGAGCAAATGCAGAATGGTGGTAGAATGTGCTTTTGGATGTTTAAAGCATCACTGGCACACTTTACTACTCGCTCAGAACTCAGCCAAACCAATATTCCCATTGTTATTGCTGCTTGCTGTGTGCTCCACAATATCTGTGAGAGTAAGGGGGAGACCTTTATGGCAGGGTGGGAGGTTGAGGCAAATCGCCTGGCCACTGATTACGCACAGTCAGACACCAGGGCGATTAGAAGAGCACACCAGGAAGTACTGCGCATCAGAGAAGCTTTGAAAACCAGTTTCATGACTGGCCAGGCTATTGTGAAAAGTTCTGTTTGTTTCTCCTTGATGAAAACCTGCCCCCCTGATTGACTCATTCCCTGTAAGCAACCCACCCTCCTACTTCGATCACAGCTTGCTCTCTAAGGAAATAAAGTCACTATCATTTAAAAATCATGTATTATTTATTATTTGATTATAAAAAGAGGGAGAGAACTGAGACAAGGTAGCCCGGGTGGGGTTTGGGAGGAGGGGAGGAAAAGGCCACTCCAAAAGTTCAAAATAATGACGGCTTTTTGGTTGGGCTGTCCACTGGGGTGGAGTGGCAGGGTGCACGGAGCCTCTACCCCCCCCGCCCCCCCACGTTCTTATACGTCTGGGTGAGGAGGCTATGGAACTTGGGGAGGGGGGAGAGTGGTTATACTGGGGCTGCAGCGGCACTCTGATCCTGTTGCCATTTCTGAAGCTCCACCAGACACCGGAGCATGTCCATTTAATCCCGCAGTAGCCCCAGAGTTGCATACTGCCTCCTCTGATCTTCCTGCCGCCACCTCTGATCTTAAGTGTCCCTCTTCTCTTCACGTTGGTCCCTCCTGTCCTCACGTTGGTCCCTCCTGTCCTCACGTTCACTGGCATCTTTCCTGTACTTTGATACTGTGTCCTTCCACTCATTCAGATGAGCTCTTTCATCGCGGGTCGATTGCATGATTTCTGAGAACATTTAGTTTCGCGTGCATTTTTTTTTCCTGCCTTATCTGAGATAGCCTTCAGGACTGAGGAGGGAGGCTTGAAAAATTTCCAGCTGCAGGAGGGAGGCGAAAAAGGGAGAGAAGTATTTAAAAAGATACATTTTACAGAACAATGCTTATGTTCTTTCACGGTGAACAACACTATTCACATTACATAGCACATGTGATTTCGGTACAAGGTCACATTTTGCATCTTATATTGAGTGCCTGCGGCTTTGGTGTTAGAGATCACAGACACTGGGCTGGGCAACAGAATTCGACTTGCATGCAGCCATGGTAAGCCATTGTCTTGCGGCTTCTGCAACCTTCATTAAAGCAGCGCTCTCCTTTCCCATACCAAGCAAAGCCCATTGAGTGATGCGGTTTTCCTGTTAACGTGCAGCTGCAGAAACCAAACTAAACCCCACCACCACCCATCCAATTCTCTAGGATGATCGCTTTACCCCTCCCCCCACCGCATGGCTGGTATCAGGGAAGATTCCTGCTACCCAAACGCGAAAAGTTCAATTCCCGCCTTCCCCCCACCCCCCCGCCCCCCACCACTTGGCTAACTGCAGGGAAGGATTTCTTTTCAGCCACAGGCAAACAGCCCAGTAGGAACGGCCACCTCTGTCCCCTTAATTAAATTCCCGTATTTCAACCAGGTTACCATGAACAATATCACTCTCCTGAGGATAACACAGCAAGATAAAGAACGGATGTTGCTTGAATGCCAGCAAACACCGGGACCATACGCTGCCAGGCTTTGTCATGCAAGGATACCAGATTACTTCCTACTAGCATGGCATGGTCAAGTGGCCTACCATGGAAGACGGAATATGGCTGCACTGCCCAAAAACTGTCTGCAAAGGCTTTTGGACTACCTCCAGGAGAGCTTCATGGAGATGTCCCTGGAGGATTTCCGCTCCATCCCCAGACACGTTAACAGACTTTTCCAGTAGCTGTACTGGCCGCGAATGCATCCCAAGTCCTCAGGGCAAATTCATCATTAAAAAACGCTTGCATTTAAACCATGTTTTATATTTACAAAGGTACACTCACCAGAGTTCCCTTTCATGGCTTCATGGTCTGCGATACCTCCTTGGGAGGGTTGGGAGGGTACTTCAGTCAGGATGAGAAAAAGATCCTGGCTATTGGGGAGAACAGAGTGCTGTGTGCTCTCCGCAAGCTCGTCCTCCTCATCTTCCCCGTCCGCAGAATCCTCAGGCATGGCTGAGAGTACCCCCTCCTCGGAATCCACGGTCAGGGGTGGGGTAGTGGTGGCGGCCCGCCCTAGAATTGCATGCAGCTCAGCGTAGAAGCGGCATGTCTGTGGCTCTGACCCAGAGCGACCGTTTGCCTCCTTTGTTTTTTGATAGGCTTGTCTGAGCTCCTTAACTTTCACGCGGCACTGTAGTGAGTCCCTATTGTGGCCTCTCTCCATCATGCCCTTGGAGATTTTTTCAAATATTTTGGCATTTCGTCTTTTGGAACGTAGTTCTGCTAGCACGGAATCCTCTCTCCATATAGCGATCAGATCTAGTACCTCCCATACGGTCCATGCTGGTGCTCTTTTTCGATTCTCGGACTGCTTAGTTACCTGTGCTGATGAGCTCTGCATGGTCACCTGTGCTCTCCACGCTGAGCAGACAGGATATTAAATTCAAACGTTCGCGGGGCTTTTCCTGTCTACCTGGCCAGTGCATCCGAGTTCAGATTGCGGTCCAGAGCGGTCACAGTGGCGCACTGTGGGATAGCTCCCGGAGGCCAATACCGTCGAATTGCGGCCACACTAACCCTAATTCGAACCAGCAATGTTGATTTCAGCGCTACTCCCCTCAGAGAGGAGTACAGAAATCGATTTTAAGAGCCCTTTATGTCGAAGTAAATGGCTTCATTGTGTGGACGGGTGCAAGGTTAATTCGATTTAACGCTGCTAAATTCGACCTAAACTCATAGTGTAGACCAGGCCAAAGAGTCTACAAAGACAGCAGACACGAGGGGGATGGAACAAAAAGAAAGTCCAGTTAAAACTATAGGAAACATCCTTGTTGGTTGATATGATTAAGGCTAATTCTGTAGCTGCTCTCTTCCTTAGTAAAATACTTGCTCAAGTCAAACAAGAGATATGAAGTTTATTCAAATAGCTGAGGTCACAGCAACTGAAGCTCTCCAAAATGAGGTGCCTGCAGAATTTAGACACTAATGGACATTTTTCTATGGAGAAAATCTTGTGTTGAGGTCATACTACAGGTATTATATCTGACTTTGCTAGTTAGGACTTGGAGAACCATGTTTCTACCTTTTTACTCTCTAACCAATTTTAAAAACACAGAGCTGTTACCCACTTATTTTGTTAGAAATTAACTTTATATCCTCCATATTACTGAAGGAAAAAGATCTAGGAAAAGCAAATATCACATTGTCTGAACATATAAACTTTACGGTTTCAAATTCTGAAAAAAAATAAGTTATTTCCATTTCCAAAGAGAGCTCAGCTGGATCCCCATATTTCGCAATGAAATCAAAAAGTTTTTAAATATTTTATGTAGTTAATTCAGGTCTATATCAGTAATGCACTCTGTGAAAGCATTATTATCCGTAAAACCTCAAATGGTTTTATATTGTGGCCAGAGTACCAAAACAGTTAACAGAACATTAAAAGGCTGATTCAAAAATCATATACAAAAGA